AAAGGTTTGTTAATTCAATATTTTCTAACAGTCTTTTAGGCAGATTACTTTTTTTTTTATTTTAAACTCCTGAAATCAATACGAAATGGAGGAAAGGTATCTTTATTCCCAACACCTCGGTTCTAACGATAGAGATACCTCCCTCGATAAATTTTCAAAGGTCACTGATCAAAACCGCGTTGTTTACACTATTTCGAGCAGTCAACTTGAATCATTAGAAGTTATTATTATTATTTTTTTGATCATGGTAATTACGAAAATAATGATATTTTTAGGTTTAAAAAAATTATATTTTATCTTGACATATTCTTGCATTTAGAATCTCAAATAATTTCCAACCCATCATTCAGAAAGGAGCCACTCCCTCCATTGTATTTCTTAATTCTTTGTACTATTAAAAAAATTTACATAATATCGATCTAATTACTGTGATAGAAAAATGTATTAATAATATAGCACGTTTAATTTAATTCATCAATATTTCAAAAAGGGAACAAACATATTGCAATTGTTTTAGTTTTTGAGTCACATCACTTTGGAAAAAAAATATATCATTGAAGGAAGCTAGTCTTTTGTAGTTGTAGTACAGATTACGGGAGATAAATAATCAGAAATCGGTAAATAAATACCTCCCAACATAAGCCTTAAGTATATTCTACATACTACCAATAATTCACCCGTTGTCTTATTTAAGGATATCGTTGGACGACAAAGGAGTTCAAGAAGTTAACATGAATTGATTATCAGTGCTTACCTACTACCAGTACCACCACCTGCATCTCATATATTATAAGAGAAGAGAGGAGAAGAGAGGACAAGACACGGACATCAATCCACTAACGGACGCGTGGGAAGCAAGCAGCTAGCTAGTGGGCGTCCCGACTACTACCTCAACTGACGACGTCCGCCCGACGCCTCCGAGAGGTAATTTCTTCTTACCTTCTTAGATCATCGCTATCATATCTCTAATCGATAGGTAATTCTACCTCTTTGGCCTAACCACAAGGGAAACATTATCCCAGTCAAAGTGTGGAGGTGTCGCATTTATTTATACTTGTTTCTTTTTTACTAAGGCATCGCAGATCATTATAAAATTATTACACCGAGCGGTAAAATCTATATTAATAAAAAAGTAAATGTTCGTCTGACCAAAACCGCTAATCTCCGAAACTTCTTCACCGATTTATTTGAAATATTGACAAAACGTTCGTATCGCATTCAGCAGTGTTTTTTTGTTCATTTAATCACCCTCCGGTCTTTCGTTTCGGAAAGGCGGACGAAAAATGTGTATCGCCATAGACTGTAAGGCCTAAACAGCTGTAACGATTTTAATTAAACTTGGATTAAAGTATTCTCCTTGAAGCCCATTTAATTTATTTATATAACATCCTTCCTCGAAAAGAATATGATAAAAAAGTTACGATGGATTTAAAATAATATTTGCAAATAGCTTAAAAAGTACACAATTTTTGATCGATTATACACATCATTATTTGGAAGCTTCCTGAATTCTTTGCAAATTACAAAAGAAAATAAAAAAAAATGACGATTTGGGGTAGAGACATAATCCTTTAACATAGACAATTATATATTGCTTATTCTAGAGTTGTATAAGCAGAAAAATATCGCATATCCAAGTAAAGCGAAATAAAATATATTATAAACATCTGCTTATTTTACTACTCAACCAGAATGAGCTACAGCAACGCATGATCGGGTACAGATAGTTATTAATAAATTCTGAGGTAATTAATCACTACCAGTAACTATTTTTTTTTTTTTTTTTTTTTTTTGGTTAGCCGAATTCAAGGGAAAAAGATGCTGTAACCAATAAATAGCTGAAATATGTAATTTAAGTTTCATAGGACAGTTCATTTTTGAGCTTGGCTGTCCACACATAAGACCATTTTGAGATACTTTGTTATTTGGACTCAGAGAGCTCAAAATATGTATTTTCGTTGCTAAATTTCTAATTTTTTGAGGATCACAATAGATTCCCTTACTATAAATATTATTTATACATATGTAGACGAAAGAGTAAACATAATAATGACGGCACGTAATTGTTAGAGAAAGAGAGAGAGAGAGAGAGAGAGAGAGAGAGAGAGAGAGAGAGAGAGAGAGAGAGAGAGAGAGAGAGAGAGAGAGAGGATGAACACACCAGCCTTAGCAAGGACACTCGGCCGGCAACTATTGGATAATAGCAGCGCTGCCAAACTAGGCCGCCCAATTTAAACAGCCTTTCAGCTCGCAATGTCTTCAAATGTGGACAAAGAGGAAAAAAAACCCTCCACCAAAAGATATTCACATCAATATCCAATGAAATTCGGCTATCTACTAACACTAATACATATTGTAATGATAAATGTTCAGCTCCAATTCAAATTAGTAAAAACAATAAAAATACATCTTCATACAATAGGCGTAGAAAACTCCTCTCTGTTATCTATTCAATGGTAATAATTCATGATTATCATTCTTAAGAGACCTCATCCCAGAATAATATTAATTTTCTACGAACGCAACGCGGGAGCAGTCATGGATACAACCCATCTGAACATATTATCTCTCTTAATGTACATAAGAAATAGAACACAGACAAAATCAGGATGCTACTGGGAAGCTAGAACTCTGGCGGAACTATATATATATTTAAAGATCTTCTTGTTATTAAAAAGGCGAGGTTGATTGGAGTAAAGTATAGTAGATCATATTGCAGTAGGGATGGTTAAAGAACGGAAATGTGTCATGTTTTATTTTTTGGAAATTACGATGTATCACTTGTATTCTAAGCGATATCAGTTGACATCAGTGCCGGCCTTAGACATTCGGTGCCACTTGTACAATGACCTCATTCTCCCCTCCTAAAAAAATTATATTTATTTCTTAAGCTGTTTTATATTATGTAATATTCTAATTTTAATTAATTTAATATTTCTCTAATACAGTTACTTTATCAATAGTCTAAAATTAATTATTTTTAAAGGTTTTGTATGTGTGTGTGTGTGTGTGTGTGTGTGTGTGTGTGTGTGTGTATATATATATATATATATATATATATATATATATATATATATATACATATTATTAATTCTAAACAAGTGGTGAAAGCCCTGATTATAGGTTCTTTCAATGCCGGCACTAGTTGATATTGTTTTTTTTTTTCTTTTCATCATTACCAAATGTACTTTAAAGTACCTGTTTCTCATCCAATAGACGGTTATTTAGGAAAATAGTTGTCGATACATTAAAAAGTAATGTATCCAAATAAGTGGTGGTAAGTCACTTATGAATCCAGGATTTAATTTTGAGAGGGCTTTACCCCAAAGATTTTATATATATATATAGATAATTACATCGCAAGAAAAAGAAAGGAAAAAACTATCTATATGAAATGATGTTGAAGTGATTCTTGAAATCATATTAAATGTAATAACCCGAACAATAATACTTTTAGAGATAATTTAAAATTATATTTTTCGTAATACTTTGTTATATTTTAAAATTTTTGGGGGGAAAGGCTTCAGCCCGAAAGCCCTCCCCCCATATATCCGCCTGTGTGTTCGGCTAATTAATTAATCTTGCGAAACCAGTTAAAATGACAAGGGAAAACTCAACAGATTATATCAAATTATATCATAAATGTAAAAAAGTGTAAACCTTCTGAGTTATTCGGAAATCTACCTTTACCATCCCTTGTAATTTTTTTCCAGCTTCTTTTCGTTGAAGTATATTATTTAGATATATTTATGAGCATCCAGAGAAAGACTTTAGCCAAGTTTCATTTAAATCGGTACATTTGTTTAGCCGCTACAGTCTATAGCAACTCAGGTTTTTCGGCCGCCATCTTGAAAGAAAAAGGTGAATAGTAAAGCCGAGGTAGGAGGATCATCCTAGGGTTAGACTTATAATCCGAATAAGAAAAAAATTGCTTTTGTAGTCTCGGAGAAAATGCTCATACGGCGGACGGACAAACAAATTTTCATTTGAACTTCGAATGCTAAGTATCCTGAAACGTAAAACCTAAAATTTTGAGACGAGGTAAACTGTTTAATGCTTTTGAAAAACAAAAGATTTCAGAAGATAGCTAAATGCAACTGACTCGGGAATAAAAAAAAGAAGAACCGAATGAGAAATTGTGAACGCAAGAGGTGTGCGAAGCGGCGGATGTGCGGAACAAGTCTGAAAGGACGCGCGGGAACTGGGCCAAGGAGACAATGAGCAAAGGAGCATTTTCCTTAATCGCCGCCCGTTCGCTTTGCTCGGGTCCTTCTCGAACGACTGGCTGTACTCAGTTCAGGAACTACGGCTCACTGCCTCCCATATAGCTAACAGGTGCCTTTTACATTACCTCCGGCAGGAATATACCTGCGCTGTAATAAATAGAGCTTTGTCAGAGGCACACATATACTGAGTATTGGTAATAGTTTTAGACTATGGATAAAGGAATTTGGAAAAATATCGATATATTATTGATATTATGGCAGATTGGAATGATTTCGGAGGTTTGGAATAATTGAACAAAAAATCAACTCCAGAAATGTAATAGACAATTTACGCGAGAAAACGAGCGGCTAGATTAAGACTCCTACCTAGTCTAACCTTGCACATCTCACACCAACAAAATAAATAAAATCCAAACTAAATTCAGACAATAGGACCATTTGACTGGACTAGTGAATCAGTACACAGGATGCGAGCCAGACGAAAAAAAGGAATGATGAAATGCATTGGAACACATCCTCCCTGGAGATTTAACAATAGATTCTCAATTATATTGTAGTTACACACCGAACGCAGAATACTGACAGTACCATCAGTATTCTATTTCGAGATTAGCAGAGGAATAGAAGGAATTCATTTCAAGGAGAACAACACGAGAAATAAGATATTTACTGGCAACTATTGTAAACTATAGAATATATAATTATAATAACTAAACTGGTAGAGAAAATAAACTAAAAACAATATAATATAGAACATAAGTATAAAATACCTACTTTGGATCTTCTGTAGCCTGAAGTGTCATGGCAAATGTGACTCACCTGCAAATAGGAAAATATTTATCAGAAACATATTAGTGAAATAACAATAAAATTTGTAGGTAATGAAATTTTTTAGTTACTAAATTCAGTAAATAATAGAAAAAGCTTTTAAAAAGATAAAATTACACCAACAGTTATGTTTAAACAATATAACAATCCAAGAAAAAACAACAGCTACAAAGCATTATTAATAGCTATGAGGAGTTGATCGAGGTGTGCGGTCAAATAAACACTAATTAAAAAAAAAATATATATTAAAAAAAAATTAGTATTTATTTGACCGACAGAGCCGCTGCTCTAAAAAATGGCTGTTGATTTAAATAATAACAAGCCAGTCATTTGTGAATCGAAACGGGGAATCCATTTTGAAAAATGTGAGAAAAGGTTTTATTTTTATAACTTGTATATATGGTTTTAGACGTGTAAAAAAAGAAATTTCTAACGCGGAACACCCAGGGAAAACTTTTTACAGCCAAAAATGTCAGATTTTTTCGATATATTCAGTTTTTTTCACCTATAATTCCTAAACGATGCATCAAATCGAAAAATGCATTTTTTAAAGAACGTTAAATCGTGCGTCGAACGAATACATAAACTTTATAATTTGATTACATGGTAAAATATAAGATCATAGTCAACCAATGCTTAATTTTACCAAATTTGCGAAAAACTGAGACAAATTACTATAAATGGTCTGACTATAAATGAAATTACTGGAGGTAAAACCCAGAGAAATAAAGTTGTAGAGCATCAAATTGTGCGCCCACTTAGTAGAAATCAATTTAATTAAATAACTTACTCCGAACAAAATTGGTAATGAATGTAAACTTGATTTTCAATATTTCAACAGTATGGGTGTCTATTCTACTGAGTTATTTTTGTTTAGAGTCGGTTACATGCAGTATAAGCCTCTTTTCCACCTCTCAGCACAAAAGGATTATGATAAAAGGTGTGTCGAAAGATACCGAATATCATAACGGAATAACAAATTTGATTCTATGGAGTTTTTAGGGAACTCAGTTCCAAGTTACAGAGATATTTGTAAGAATTTGTCTCAGTTTTTGACAAATTTGGTAAAAATCATTGTTGGTTGACCGTGGTGAACCTACCATGTAACCAAATTATAAAGTTATGTACTCGTTCGACGAACAATTTAACGTTCTTTAATTAATTACAGAATACATTTTTCGATCTGATGCATCGTTTAGGAGTTATAAGTGAAAACCAAAATAATCTTGATAGTTATGCCTGTAAAAAGTTTTCCCTTGGTCAGCAAAAATTCCTGTGTAAGCAATTTTGTTTTTTACATGTCTAAACCGATATATACAAGAAAAGATATATAAACTTTTTTCACATTTTTCGCAATGGATTCCCCGTATCGATCCCCAAATTACAGGCCTAATATTCTTTATATCATCCACCATTTTTTAAAGCAGCAATTCTGGAACGGCAGACAAGGTTCTTTTTACTGAGAATAACATACACTTTCGTAATTTACAATCAAACCTTCGCCTGCGATGAGGTCAATTTTTGGGCCCTGACTCCAGTTCCGCGGGCTTATATTGACTGGTGATGACAAAATTTTTTTTTCTATAGATGATACTTAAGTTGCGAAATAAGCTTTCTATGAGAAACTAATCATGAAATAAATTTAACCTCATGTTTCAGTGATTTTTTTAAATTTTACTATTTAATTAAGGATCCTATCGCGAGCAGTAGTTTGGAGACCGCTGGCTTAAACAATAGCTAGAGGTTTGGGAAAGACACGTAGGCACTCAGGAACCAATGCAATCGAATGGATATATATATATATATATATATATATATATATATATATATATATATATATATATATATATATATATATATATATATATATATATATATATATATATAGCATTCCAATCCGATCTAAGTTTTACAGAGCTTTTATTTTAACTTATATTTTCTCACTATATATATATATATATAGTGAGAAAATATAAGTTAAAATAAAAGCTCTGTAAAACTTAGATCGGATTGGAATGCTGCCAAGAATAAATGGACAGAAAAGAAAGGAATGAAAATTTAAAAAAAATATATAAAAAGAAAACCAGGAAAAGTTGTTTACTTAATTAAGATTAAGCCATTAGACATTAGCGAGATGAATAAATCTTAGTTAAGAAGTTGTAGGGCGGAATAATAACAAGCATCTAAGAAGAAGGAATGGAATGATGAATAAACCATTGAATTTAAGGATTCGACTTCCCTCTCCGCCCCTTATTCAATGCTGTGTAGTGATTGTAGGGCGAGGAATGAGGAATGGCGAATTCTTAAAAACCTTTATTTCTACAAATATAAATTTATTTTATAAAGGAAGGAGATGGTCGGGGGGTGGCGGTCATAAATAGTTTTGCCATTATTTAGGCCATTTTATAACCGCCACCTCGGATCATCTCCTTCCTTTATAATGCAACGGTCAACTATTAAATATTCTTTTATGTATATCTACTTAGTATTGTTATTTTAAATTTGTTTTATTTCATTTATTATTAATGAACTCATCTTTCAGTATTACTATTGCCCTTAGTTGTGAAAAAAAGTCGTATTATTCAATAAAGAAAAAAATAATCAATCATAATTTTCACTAAATCCGCAATTACTAAAGAGTCGTTTACACGATTAGAATTGCTGTCCTGACAGTAGGCTTCATTGTATACATTCTAACAGTTAACCTGGAAAAAAGGTGGAATTAAGAAATTAAGAAATAAGAAATAGTTTCTTCACATTTCTTTTCGGGTACATACCTCATAAAATTATAATTTAATTTAAAACTGAATACAATCGTACAACAAAAACCCGTCTAATAAATCGCATATAGTTTGTACAGTAATAATATAAATATAGGTTATATTATAAGCTCCCACTGTCATATATTTATCACCTACCTCAGTTCGTAGTCATTCTATTCTTAACAATTACAATTATTTCAATTTTGGTAAAAAAATAGAAGAAATCGATGCCAATTTTAGGGTAAATCTAATGAAATATTACGTGTAGAGAGGAAAATTGAATAGAATAGAATAATCACCTTTATTCTGTGACAAAGTCCCTTAAGAATAACAATATTGTACATAAAAATTAACATAACATCTTGCCAAAACGCATATTACAATAAAAAAAAACAACTAAAAAATAAGTAATAAAAGAAGTATTTACATAACTATACAGATATTATTAAAGACATAATATCAGCAACAAGGTCCTAATACTGCAAAATAGTTGCTATAAACAATAAGCTATGGAATTATAAATGAATTTCGAATTAAGCGAAAAAAATACTTTTATTGTCATACCATTGTATTAATGGAAAAAAAAAAATAAAAGAGTGGATAAATATTTACTTTAAATGATTTACATCTGTACCTTAATATGTTCAAAGAATACAATAATAGTATTGTAAACAAGTCCTATATAATCTAAATCCTAAGATGTTGATCGATCGGAGAAAATAAAATATAATATACATATAGACGAGATTATATATATATATATATATATATATATATATATATATATATATATATATATATATATATATACATAATATACATGATAAATGGCTACCCAGCGTCTGATTGAATTGTAAGGAGGAATTGGAATAAGAAGGTTTTAAATATGGATAAGGATGGTGCATGGCGGATTTTAAGTGGGTGAATTCGTAGTAAGTGGTAAGTAGTGAGTTCGTAAGCTAAAAAAATGGCTGTACGAATCCCACAGTAACTGACATAGGGAAACGAGGCTGAATGGACCGGGACAGATATCTTGTTATCAAATTATTAACATCCGCCTGAAACTTCGTGAATAGCTTCATCTCACCGTAAGCTACAAATTTTTTATTAACAAAAATTCTCGGATTAAACTTTGTCTATTTAATAAGGTACTAAAAACATTTGCTTTCCACCTGAATCGTAAAATAATTTGATCACAAAATCGAGAAAGAATACATCCAAATTGGCTGCTTAGCGTGAATTCATGTCAAAATAACCATGATGGCTATTAGTAACTAACACAAATCAAAATTAAAAAAAAAAAAATTTATTATTTTTTTTTTTTTTTCGTTTTCACAATGATATTATCTATATTTGACTAACACCCATACCAGACTGAAACGACTAGAAACTGCCCGACGTTTTCGATTACTGCAGCACTTACTAGACAAACGCTCTAACCTCACAATCAATTACAAACGACTCATATATATGACAATAATAAGACCTATTTGGACTTACGGAATTGAGCTTTGGGGCTCCACTAAACCATCGAATTCCTCTCGTATCCAATCCTTACAATCCAAAATCCTTCGTAAAATCCTCAACGCTCCTTACTTTGTCACAAATAAAATCATCCATAAAGACCTTAATGTTCCATATGTTTCCGATTTGGCCTAATCCAGATATCTATCCTTCCATAACAAACTGCAGAACCATCCGAATCCTCTCGTTTCAAACCTTGCTTCCTCCTCGATCCCTGATAATCCTCCGAGGCGCCTGAAAAGAAGATGGCCTCGGGACCTTCTAATATAGAACTTTAATTTGAGTTCTACCAATGGGTAGTTTCTCTTCATGTTGTACATGTCATGTTACCAATGTCACATTTACTTATTGTATTTTCCATATAATTCAGTTGTAAATCTCAATAAAATAAAAAAAAAAAACATTTGACTATTGTTAAAAAATTAAAATTCAAACATCCAAATAAACCAAAAAAGACAGAACAAAATATAGAACAAGGACTGCGAGATAACAAGGATTGCTAGATGATGGCGTCAAATCCGAGTGATGACGACCTTCATCATCATTACTAAATATTTACCAGTTCATGAATGGAGGAGTGGAGACGTCCACACCATGAATGGAAGGAGGGGAGAGGGGCCATGCTCTCGTGTAAATAAATAATGTAAGTTAATTCGGCTATTTACTCTACACTCAGCTATGGCTAAATATTAACATCGACAGGAA